GTAGCATAGTGGCTAAGACACTTGACTGCTAACCAGAAGGCTGGCGGTTCAAATCCACCAGCCACTCCTCGGAAGGAAGATGGGGCAATCTACTTCCGTAGTGATACTGCCTCAGAAACCCAAGGAGGGGTCGCTATGAGTCGGGTCTGACTCGACGGCACATAACAACAACAACAACAAAGAGTTATTCATTGCAAATATCTTTTTAAAATCATAAATGGTGGCTATACACAAGGACATCACCAGATTGAATGCACAGGAATCAGACTGACTACATCTGTGGAAATAAGCAATAGAGCAGATCAGTATCTTCAGCCAAAACAAGGCCAGGAGCTGATTGTGGAACAGACCATCAATTGCTCATTGCAAGTTAAAATTGAAGCTGAAGAAAATTAAAACAAGTCTATGAGATCCAAAATATGACCTTGATTATATCCCACCTGAATTTAGAGACCATCTGAAGAACAAATTTGAAGTATTGAACAGCAGTGACTGAAAACCAGATGAGCTGTGGCGTAATCCCCAAGAACATCCTACATTAAGAAAGCAAAAGGTCATTAAAAAGACAAGAAAGGAAGAAAAGACCAAAATACATGTCAGAAAGGACTCTGAAACTTGCTCTTGAGCAGAGAGTAGCTAAAGCAAATGGAGAAAATGATTAAATAAAAGAGCTGAACAGATGATTTCAAAGGGTGGCTTGAGAAGACAAAGTATAGTATTAAAATGAAATGTGCAAAGACTTGGAGTTAGAAAACCAAAAGGGAAGAACATGTTTGGTATTTCTCAAGCTGAAAGAACTGAATAAAAAATTCAAGTCTCAAGTTGCAATATTAAAGGATGCGGTGGGGAAAATATTGAACGATGCAGGAAGCATCAAAAGAAGATGGCAAGAGAAGATAGATGGTATAGAGTCACTGTCCAAAAAGAATTGGTTGATATTCAGCTATTTTGGGAGGTGGAATGTGATCAAGAGCCCGTGGCATTGGAGGAGGAAGTCAAAGCTGCATTGAAGGGATAGATGAAAAACAAGGCTCCAGGACCTGGTGGGATACCCACTGAGATGTTTCAACAAACGGATGCAGCACTAGAGGCACTGTTTATGCCAAGTAATTTGGAAGACAGCTACCTGGCCAACTGACTTGAAGAGATTCATGTTTGTGCCCATTCTAGAGAAAGGTGATCCAACAGAATGTGGAAATTATTTAACAATATCATTAATATCACATGCAAGTAAAACTTTGTTGAAGATAATGAAAAAATGTTTGCAGCAGTATATTAACAGGAAACTCCCAGAAATGCAAGCTGGATTCAGAAGAGGTGGTGTAATGAGGAGTATCATTCCTGATATCAGCTGAATCTTGGCTCAAAGCAAAGAATATCAGAAAGATGTTTACTTGTGCCTTATTGACTCTGTAAAGGCATGACTGTGTGGATCATAACAAATTATGGATTACATGGAGAAAATGGAAATTCCAGAACACTTAATTGTGCTTGTCAGGAACCTGTACATGGAGCAAGAGGTTCTAATTCAAACGGAACAAACGGATACTGCATGGTTTAAAATTAGGAAGGGAGTATATCAAGGATGTTACATTTCATCATACTTTTTCAGTCTGTATGCTGAGAAAATAATCCAAGAAGCTGCACTATATGAAGAAGAATGCAATATCAGGGTTGGAGGAAGAATCATTAACAACCTATGATTTGTAGATGACACAACATTGCTTGCTGAAATTGAAGATAACTTGAAGCACTTACTGATGAAGATTAAAAACTACAGTTTGCAGCATGGATTACACCTCAACAAAAAGAAAATGAAAGTGCTCAAAACTGGACCAATAAGCAAAATCACAATAAATGGAGACAAGATTGAAGTTGTTAAAGATTTCATTTTACTTGGATCCACAATTAACACTCCTGGAAGCAGTAGTCAAGAAATCTGACATTGCCTTGCACTGGACAAATCTGCTGCAAAAGACCTCTTTAAAGTGTTGAAGAACAAAAATATCACTTTGAAAACTAAGGTGTGTCTAACTCAAACCAAGGTATTTTCAATCATCTCATATGCATGTGAAAGCTGGACAATGAATAAGGAAGACTGAAGAAGAGTTAATGCCTTTGAATTGTGGTGTTGTTGAAAATACTGAAAGTATCATGGACTGCTAGAAGAACAAAAAAAATCTGTCCTAGAGAAAGTGCCACCACAATGCTCCTTGGAATTACATTAAAAAGCAAGAATGGCCATACGTTGTCTTAAATTCTTTGTTCATTTTGTGATTATGTTCAGTGTCTTTCTTCTACCTCCCAGCTTCTTGCATAGTGCCTGGGATTGTAAAAGCTTGCAAGTGGCCTTCCAGTGCACAACAATTAGTCTCTGTTCACCTACAGCAACAGAGAGAGGATGATGAAAAGTTAGAAATGAAGGAGAAGAGGGAATATTTGGAGATCCGGTGGCATAGTGATTAAAGCATTTGGCTGCTAACCAGAGGTTGGCAGTTTGAACCAATCAGCCCCTCTGCAGGAGAAAGATGCATAAATTTTCCATGAAGATTTACATTTACAGCCTTGGAAACTCTACCAGGCAGTTCTATTCTGTCCTAAAGGATCACTATGGGTCAGAACTTACTTGAAGGCAGTGGTTTGATTTTTGGTTTTGTATGGAATGTGTGGCTAATTGCCTCCACAAATAATTACCTCTTTTGCCATGAAACCAGAAGAACTGGATGGTGTTGAACATTTTTATCAAAGATTCTACAGAAAAATCCTGATCAGGCGTGAAACGTAGAAAAGAATTTCAAATTCTCATGGAATCCAGACTTTCTGGAGCCATGGGTTATGAAGGAATCCCTGAAACCTGAGATAACCTTTAAAACATAAGCCAAAAATGTCCTCTGAAGTCTTCTTAAAACCAAACAATAGTTTAGTTAAACTATTAAAAATAAATAAAAGTCTGCTTTGAGCATTATTCTCTTTCAGGAACTATACCAGGGATCAGAGTGACAATAGCACCTTGAAAGACTGGATGGAAATCTTAGAAGGCAGAGAGTGTATGTTAATTAATCAGGAAGGAACAACTCAGAAAAGAAGGGTGTAAATGGTTGCACAATTTGAAGAACATAATCAATGTCATTGAATTGTACATGCAGAAACAATCGAACTGGAGTTCATTGTGCTGTGTATGTTCTCAACAACAAAAGGAAAAAGGAAAGAAAGATGGTTAGAGAGACCACTATTTCCATTGCATTCACCATTCTTCCAAGGAGAGTGAGTTTTGAATAAAAAGAATTACCAAGTGTGGGCAGTCACACTTAACTGGGGCTGTTTCTTCATTCCTTGAAACAAGAAACCATGCTGAGGGAATGACAAGTACACAAACTACTCATATGACTGGTCCAATATTACCAGAGCCAGTCAGGACACAAAAGATCAGGGACACTCAGGATGCCTGGAAAAAAAAAAAAAAAAAAACCCTCATTTATCCTCTTTCATTCTCTATGTGCATACTGTCTATGAGATGTGGAATCACATTGCAGAAAGCTATTTGGCTTTTGTTCTGCCTTATTTCCAGCCATGCCAACACATGAGGATAATGAATGGGGTATAACCAGACAAAGAGCTACCACTGGGGGGCTGATGCTGATTGAGCCTCATTAATCAAGATGCAGTCTGTCTGGCCCTGGTGGAGGCCAATAAAAGGCCTGAGCCCTAAGGCTCACATGGAGATTTCTGAGCAGCTCAGGGAGAGTAATGCCTCCTCAGTTGCATCATGGAAGCTCTACACTGTGACATTTCCTTAACCTCACCCTATGTCTCTATTAATATGTCTTGTCTATATCTTTTTTTCGTTGTAATACATCTATAGTAAGTGTGGTGTACTTTCCACAATTTCTGTGATTCCTTCCAGTGAATTAACAAACCCACAAGGGCAGTCAGAGTCAGCAAGGGGCTCATGTCTGCCTTTTTGGCGGTCAGAAAGAAGGTGTCCTTTTAGAGAAGGTGACCTAGTTCTGGGCTTCAAGTGTTAAAAGTCAGTATCCTTCTAAGTTGTGACTTCTGACCCAGTTCTGGGTTGCTGGGACTGAGAGAAAAATTTCACTGTCAGTGACTGGAAGCTAGCATAAAAAAGCAGGAAAATGAGGACTGGATCATTTCTGCTCTCTGAGAACAGCAATTATGCTGATTCTTAGCATGCAGGTAGTCTTTGTAGGTGGTATTTGCCAACCATGTCCCTTCTTTAGTGTACCGTCAAATTTCTTGAAGCAGGATTTTTTACCTTGAAAATACCAAGATAATATTAAATTATCAGGATGGCCTGGGATGAAACAATGGACTGATACAGGTTATTCTGTAAAATTTTGTCTCTCCAACCCTTTAATTCTGCCATCTCTTTCCTTTCCTAGTATTCTCACCAACATTTCATCTCGACTTCATCATTACCTCTAATCTCATGCCCATTCTCAAGATTCTGAAGTTGTTTGAAGCTACCAAGAAGTTGACAGATGACTAAGATCTTATCAAGTGTTAATTATGGTGAGACAAGTGACTGTTACATATACTTTTATTAAAATTTAGCTCTTGTCCTCTCAAATAATGAAGCCCTAAAGAGATGGATTGGGCTGAGATATATTATGAAAAGAAGAAGGGAATTGGTAATCACAAATGCAAAGTAACATGGCATTACATTCAGTCTCTGAAAACCCAAAAGAGAACTTGGTGGAGGTAACATCATTTCTGACTGAAAGAAAATCTCTAAAAGCCCCATTTCTTCCTTCTCAGAGTTCAGGATTTTCTCCAGGTAAATGCAGACTCAGAAACTGCCTATTAGTGTGATTTAATACCTTTAATTACACATTCCTGTAGAAGGGAAGAGGGACATGCTGAGTTCCTATCTTGAGAATCAATACAACCTAGAAGGACCTATGTGGTCATTAAGCCTGCCCCTCCTTATTCACTACTTGGGTTATAAAGCCTGGAAAAAGAAAACACAATCAACTCCTAACATGAGCAGCCCTTCTGAGAAGATGTTGCCGCTTCTGATGGTGTTGGCCTTGTTTCTGTCCTCCAGGGCCTTCATAGGTAAGTTACTGTCCCCACTTCCAAGGCCTGGCTTACTTCGCCAGTGACTTTTCCACACAGATGCAGTCAGCCACCTCTGTGATGCATCCTGGACCCAGTTGTTCCCCAGGAATTTGGCGTAGTGCCTAAGGCATTTGACTATTAACCAGAAGTCTGGTGGTTCAAACTCACCACTCCTCAGAAGGAAGACTGAGTAATCTACTTCTGTAGAGATACTGCCACGGAAACCCAAGTAGGGGTCGCTAATCGACTCAACAGCAGTAAGTTTGGTTTAATGGCTTTATAAACAATGTAGAAAAATAACAGGAAAAATATTACTCCCAAGAAACTAGTGGGTAATTCTTCCCATGGGCTGTACCTCTGTTATCCAGAAAGTGATTTAATACTAGTATATCCAAAGATTCTGATGGATGTGGGAAAATAAAAATAAATATCATAAATTCCCTTTATGTAAACCGAAGAATGGACAGTTCAACATCAGGTGCCTTTATATGCGTTGAAAAAGGAAGATCTATTTCATATTCCACTTTCTAAACTTTTCCTTTACTTTGTCCTTATTTTGTTGAGCCCCTCGGCTCTGCTGGGGCAGATAGTGGGAATTAACTGAGCCATTGGACTGTTGCAGTGTTCACTGCTCCTAAGGTCTTAATGGAGACAAGGATTCCACTTAAGTACTTGCAGCCCATTTAATCATCACAACTTTAATTTTCAGTATTTGTCCTCATTCCCCTATATTATGATAGCTCAATTTAATAGGAAGCTAATTCGAAACTGGGGATCCAAACTTCATTAGAAATTTTCTCTCCAACCTCAAGCCAAAGACATTACAAGGAATGTTCATTGATGTATTCAATGAACATTTATGGTTTTTGTTTTGTTTTGTTTTGTTTTTAGCTAGAGAGATTTGGAGAGATCTAGTCCAAGAGCTCATCATATTCAGGTCTTAGAAAGGAGCCTATGCTAAAAGTAGTCAGGACAGCATGGGTCTGAGATTTTGGGACACGAGGAAGCATCCAGAGCAGGTCATAGGATTTCCTGGGTCTTCTTGTTTGTGAATCCTGAAGGCAGATCATTTCTTCTTAACATGTGTCTGATGTACATTTAAGCCCCTTTCTTCTCATGCCCCAAAAAAGGCTGATCTCCCTCACCCCCAGATGAAAGTTAGATTTAGGGACAAATGGGCTATGATACAAGCCAGCCATGCTGCTCACAGGAACCAGGAGCCTATCTCAATGTTAAGATTGCTTATTGCTGTCTTATAATTCAAGTTAACTCCATAGATCATCATAGCCTTGACTATATCAGTGATGCAAGCCACAGGCAGTACCTATCCCTTGGGTTCTGTGAGCACAGAGAACCAATAAGAGTTTATCTTTATGCAGTGATCAGAGGGGGCACAGAAACCATACCACACTCCAGGCCCTACATGGCAGCAATAAAGATTTCTGATGACAACTCTACTTGGGCCCTCTGTGGAGGTTTTCTGGTGCGAGAAGACTTTGTAATGACAGCAGCTCACTGTTATAGAAGGTAAGGAGAAGCAACTGGGCTCTTTTTCCCTGGGAACTTGCAACAGTATTCCAAAGACCTAGTTCATAATGATCCTTCAGTGCACAGGGCCCAAGGATCTCATCAGAGGAGCCATATATGGATATCTAGTATGGGGAAGAGTGTGGGATAGAGGATTGGAATGGGTTGGCACTGTCCAGGGTGGTAGGTGAAGCTGCTGAATGACCAGGCCTGAATCACTGCTGCAGAGAAAAGAAGATAACACTATCTACATCTTACTGAGGTGTTTGAATTTGAGAAGTGAAACATGTCTTCTGCTCCATCTTCATCCTCCCAATTTGACTCAGCTCAGGCCTGCCTTTGCCTTGAACATCAATATCCTTATCTGACACTGAATTGAAGTTTCTATGACTTACTGTATTTAGCCTTTCTTTGCAGAATTATGAATGTCATGCTGGGATCTCACAATATCACAACAAATGAACCAACAAAGCAGGTCATCCCCGTGCTTCAATCCTTCCCTCATCCAGAATTTAAACGTGGTTCATTTGTAAATGACATCATGCTACTGAAGGTACTATTTTGTCCATTCGTGTACATACCCTGGGTACTGGAGAGCATCAGCTCATTCAGAAACTCATGCCCTTCCTCTCCTCCAGTCTTGATATACTACTGATCTTAGTGCAATAAAAGGGGACATGGGAGACTCTCCAGGAGTCTTGGTGGTGCAGTGCTTAAAGCACTTACTGCTAACCAAAAAAATTTTGGTGGTTCAAACACATCAGCTGCTCTGTGGGAGAAAGATGAGGCAATCTGTTTCTGTCAAGATTTATAGTCTTGGAAACTCTATGGGACAGTTCTACTCTGTCTTATAGGCTCACTATGAGTATGGTTTGACTCAACGGCAGAGTTTTGTTGGTGGTTTTTTTTTTTTTTTTTTTTTTTTAACTTTTGGGCAACTCTCCATGCAGGGAAGAGCAAAACAACTTCCTCCTGTTCCAAGCCCCAGTGACACAGCAGGATCTGAACTGCCATCTCCCACTTTCTCTGACCAGCTGAAATACAAGGCACAACTGAACACAGCTGTGAAAACCATTGCCCTACCACGGAGCAAGGACTGGGTGAGGCCAAAGCAGGTGTGCAGTGTGGCAGGCTGGGGAATAACAGAAAATGGCAAGTTGTCAGGCACCCTCCGTGAAGCAGACCTGGAAATACAGAAGAAGAAGAAGTGCAAGCAAATGTACTCACATTACAATGATGCCATTCAGCTGTGTGTGGGTAACCCACAGTACGCGAAGAATGCTAGAAGGGTAAGAAGACAAAAATCTTTCTTACTTTACCTCAAAAACAGATTTATTCTAAAGCCCCATGGTCACAGATTTAGTGTCCACAGAGTCCCTGGTAGACCAAGGTCCACTATGGGTGGAGACATTTTGTTCTCAACCTGTGACACCTGAGCCTCTCTCTTGAGCTCATCTCTCATCCTTTCTCCATTGGAAATCCTGGGACTAGGCTGAGTTGGAGAGAATACTCAGCAGGGGTATTCCAGAGGCAGGGACTCTGCCCACCCCTCTCACTCAGAGCCAGAGTGATTGGTGACACTTAAGCATCCTACTCTTCTGAACACCCACGCCCTGAGCAGGAGGACATGGGAACCAATAAGCAAAACAAAAGACCCCACAGGGGGAAGCCAGAAGGGTCTGAATTGAGACACTTCTCTTCTCTGTTTACAGGGCGACTCAGGAGGTCCCTTGGTGTGTAACGATGTGGCCCAGGGCATTGTCAGTATTGGATACAATTTTACCTCTACTGCAGTCTACACCAGAATCTCCAGCTTTGTTCCCTGGATCTACAGAATCATGACTGCATCCTTGTATCACTAAGCAATTGGCCCTGAGTTCTGTGGCACGAACCACATCTATGTGGAGAGAAGATATCACATTCTTAATAAAGACCATCTCCCCGTGTGGAGAAGATGCCAGCTGCTTCTTCCTTGAACATATACACTGATCACCTGCTGGGCCCCAGGCATGTTCTAATTGCACCTCCTCTACATTCTACGGGAGCTCTGGTAGCATAGTGGCTAAGGCACTTGACTACTAACCAGAAGGATGGCAGTTCAAACCCACCAGCCACTCCTCGGAAGGAAGATGGGGCAATCTACTTCCGTAGTGATACTGCCTCGGAAACCCAAGGAGGGGTCGCTATGAGTCGGGTCGACTCGATGACACATAACAACAACAACAACAACTACATTCTACACTTTCCCCTCTACTCACCAATCCATAGACTTTCCACACAGGCCAGCAATTCATATCTGTGCACTGCCCCATCATATCAGTGCATCTAATGTCAGGTCCCTCTATCTGGCCCTATTAAGTAGGGAGTGACTACCTAGGAGAACTATGGAATTTTTACATGAGGCTGTCAATGATGGCCTTTCCTCTCTCCTAAATCTACCCCAACCCAACAGCACAGAGAGGGAGAAAAGCAACTGAGCCAAAAACCAACATAACTGAGGCTCAGTATGGTCACCACCATGACCACTTTCCTATGAAGCTCTACATTCATTTCCCTCTGTCCATGGCTGAGCAAGACCTCTCCTTATTGCTCTGCTCCAGCTGTGCCCTGCCTGTGAGCTGCTCATCCTGTTAGAGAAGGGGATCAGGGACCCCAGACTGTGCTCAGAACAGCAGAGTTTGGAGAAAATGTGACAGACAAGCTGGATCTCCACACTTACAGACACACCTCCACATGTGCACAGCCAGCTCAATCTTTCTCATACAGCCCAGCACACCCTACACCCCTGAATGAGTTCAGAGTCTCTTCTCACTTAGTGCTGTCAGTCCCTCAGCCTGTCACTCTTGGCTTACCAGTCAGACCAGGCTAGCTGGTATATTGATTACGTCCCATACTTGCAGATGGCCACTTGGTCATTAGGGTCTATGTGCTTATTATAATTCCTCTCTGCAATGGTATTGGAATTCACTCTTCCTACTCTTAACTAAACATTCATTTACTGCCTAAGTGATAGACCTTGTGACATAGCAGTGAAACTAGAAATAGAGTCTTTCCCCAGGAACTATAAAATTGCCTTTTTTGTGCGTGAATCCCACTGTTCTTCAGAGGATCCAATCCTTCTCCTGGACGTCAGAAAGAATTCATCTCTGTGCCTCATTGAGCTCAGAATCTCAGATTTTTCTGATGCAGACCTAATGCAGACACCTAGAGGCAAACCTTCAATGCTGCTTTTGCTGGCATGACATGAAGGGTAGCAAGTGGCAATGCTAGCATTTGATATAGAAAGCGTTCCTGACAATGGCAGCTCAGTGCAGGGAAGTGAAGACCAGCACCCCATACCTTCCTGTGGATACCTATAGGGCTGCATCTTCTTTAAAGGCCTGAGTTCAGGGGCTATTTTTGCCCTTGGTCACCCAGGGCCCGAAGCAGCTTATAGAGGATTCATTCCAGAGCAGGGCTGGGTGGATCAGAGTTAGGATAATAGGAGCTCTGGTAGCATAGTGGCTAAGGCACTTGACTGCTAACCAGAAGGCTGGCGGTTCAAACCCACCAGCCACTCCTTGGAAGGAAGACGGGGCAATCTACTTCCATAGTGATACTGCCTTGGAAACCCAAGGAGGGGTCACTATGAGTTGGGTCCGACTTGACAGCACACAACCACCACCAACCAACTATAGACATCTATCCTATCCCCAGCAGACAGTAGGACAGCACTGACCTTGAGATCAGGAGGGAGACATTGAAGCAATGGGAACAGAATGTAAGCCGCCTTGGGATAGCCCAGAATCAAGAGACATTGCCGACCTGACCCCCTCCAGCTGTCCTAAACTGCAGGGGTATGAAAGGAAGAACATCCTGAAGATTCAGGCACTGACATCATCCAATTTCACCCCATTCCACTCCAGCTTTTGTATTGTTCATTCTGCCCTCTTAAGAACCATGTGCTCTGCACCATTTCCTTTAAGATAATCTTTCAGAAATATAGAAATAAAATGTATTGCAGGTAAAAACAACTTAATTTATTTCTCTCAGAACTAGACACTAACTTTCTTTGAGAGTTAAACTAGAGTACAGCCAAACCAAACAATGACATATAATTTTATATATACATATGTACATATATATATATGTGTGGGTTTTTTTGTATATTCATATATTGATATATAATTACATACATGTATGTTATTATTTTATATGGAATATTTAAAATAATAATTATTTGAAAATGTATATTCTAAGCTCTGCTGACATAGTGCCTAAGGCACTTGACTGCTAACCAGAAGGCTGGAGGTTCAAATCCACCAGCCACTCCTCAGAAGGAAGGTTGGGCAATCTACTTCCGTAAGTGATACCACCTTGGAAACACAGGGAGGGGTCTCTATGAGTTGGGTCCGACTTGAGAGCACATAACAACAACAACAATAATGTATTATAGGGAGCTCTGGTGGTGTGGTGCCTAAGGCATTTGACTGCTACTTATTTTCAGAAGTGTCTTTATGTAAATAAATCACCAACATGACTATTTAATAGTGACAGTAAGTAGTAACTAATAGCACAAATCAGACAACTCTGTGGGAAGAGTGCAAGAATATTTTGTTTCTTTCAACCTCTGATACAGGAATTCATTTTCATACATTTTAAATCCTTTATTAGGTATTTATAATTTTTGTAATATTTAATCATTTTATCCTAACCCACAAAATACTGCATATTGTTATATACATACAAGACATTACAAATGATTATGTGTGTGTGTGTGTGTATATATATATATATATATATATATGGTTAATTAGGCAGATGTTATCTATATTTAATTAAAGATGACAATTTACTTCCATAGTGATACCACCTCAGAAACCCAAGGAGGGGTGGTCGCTATGAGTTGTATCTGACTCTACAGTAGTGAGTTTGGGTTTTTTGTTTTGTTTTTTTTTTTTTTGGTTTGGTGTGTCCTTGTCTAATAATACTTAGCTGAACTGCTGGCCTAATTAGACTATACTTTTCTTTAAGTGATAGCAAAGGAGAATATAGTCAATCAGAATACTCACTTTGACTTTCAGCTCTACTCTTACCAAGTTCACATTGCACTGATTTCTGGTGTCTACAAGCTAAATGACTTCTCAGCAAAACTGTTTTAGCATGCAACACTTAGGATTTTACCTATTAGCAACAGGAGGTTGTTTTTTGTTTTTTGTTTTTTTTTTAATTTGAAAGAATTAAGATTCTGCTGTCCAAATATGCCCATCCACTTGGTCTTGACAAAACTGTTTCTGGGTAGATCAGCATCCCATATCCATCATGCCGAAGGGCAATGGATGTCATCACAAGTTAAACCTCTCATGAAAATATCTGTAAAGCAAGGGACAATTTGAAATTTATTACCAAAAATGTTATAGTTTTAGTAAAGAAATAACAAAGCCCTGTTTAACTTGGCCACCCTCCTTTGGCAGTATGTTTGAGTTCTGAAGCAGTCATAATTCCAATGTATGAGTATTCTTTTTCCTCTCCATATAATTTTTTTTTTTTTTTTTTTTTTTTATTGTGACCTGGGTGAAAGATTGCAGAGCAAATTCATTTTCCATACAGCAGTTCATATACATTTTGTCTCATAACATTGACTGCAATTTCCCACAATGTAACAGCTCTCTTCCCATTTCCCCCCATAGTTACCTCTTCCCTATGTCCTTCCCTCTCATGCACTCCTGCCCCCCAGCAATCTCCCTGTGCATACACTGCCCTTCTGTTCTCCCATGATTGATCTCTCCAATGAGTTTTTCAGACCAGCAAGCCTGGCTTTTATATATGTATAT